TTTTAAAAATCAATTTGCAAAGGCTTCATGAGAGGAAGAATATAATCAGATACATCTAAATCATTCCATTTGTTCTCAGGCAAAGTGAAGCCATACTCACATAATAAAAATTCATTAGAATGAGGCCCATAACTCAAGAATAATTGTTCGTCGGTATTATATGAGCATGTTGTATAAACTTGAAATCCAGTTCCATCAATTTTTAGCCCACATTGATCGTCACAAGAATGGTTTAGAAAATCTACGTATGGGGCCATAGTAAAATTATCTGCAGCACTTTTGCTCTGTGGAATTTCCATGTATAAGCAACGAGAGTTAATACACATCCAAGACCATAAATATAGATCAATTGGTACAAGGCTATTAACTGCATCGGTAAAATCATTTGGCTTTTCATCATCAGATATTTCTTGCAATTTAGTTGCAAGTAGATTTTTTACGACATTGTAATCAGTTTGAAATCTATCATATATCTTATCCATATGTTTTTTAGTCGAATTAGGCAACAATTTCAATAATAGTTCATGATGATCCACTTCTAAAACTTTCCAAACCAACGGGGCTAGGTCAAAGTCACTTGTCTCTGGAAGCATATCTATAAAAGGTTTCCAAAAAGACGAGGTCCCTCTTTGCTTCTCAAAACAAATGTAAAGTGATAACAACTGGAAGGAAGATAAACCAAGCATCTCCTCCATCGTTAGCTTAGAGTATATTTTCGTGTATTGAGTTTCAGGAACCTCTCCATAAGGAACATAAATGCTTGTGTAGTATGTCTCTTGTAATTTTATGGATTCATTATGTCTACTGATATGCCTAACAACCGTATTGAAGTTCAAAAGAAATGAGTGCGGTATTCTAAGAAGCATCTCCGTTTTCTTGATTGAACTAGCTGCTCGAATACCCCTACCAAAGTTTTTCATATCTTTAACAACAATTTTAGGCGAAATGAAGGAATGAGTTGAAGGCAGAATCTTTTCATCCTGGGTATTCTTAATCCACTTGAGTAGCTCATCTATCCTTTGATCTATATTTGCCATTATATCTGTCCTCTACTTCTAGTTTTATTTTGTTAGATTAGATAGTATTGAACTTCTGATTCATATTGAAGGTAATCACACGACCGATGTGATGATGTTTGTATGTTTTGATTTCATTCCAACAATGTTATAATACTTCCTAGAAGCAGAAATATCGTCTCAGTTTGTTCATTAGAGTACTCTGTAGAGTAGCATATACCTAAGGTATCACTTATGATTATTGGAGTCCATTAAGACGCGTGTCGAGGACTGTCTATTATACTCATATCGACTGGTAACTGCCATATTTTGAAAACGTAATCATTTAATAATTAACCGATTCGCTGATCTTAGCTCAGCGTGAATAATTCATCCACGCTGTAGTACTATTGTTGAATCCTTCTGTCAATTAGACTATCTCTTGCACTATATCTTGTCAGTTTAATAGTGACACAAAACCGATGCACTTAGATCTCTAAAACACGCTTAGATCTATTGATCTAACTTAACAGGACAATTGAATAAACATGGAAATATGAAGATACTTTGTGTGGCGGAAAAACCGTCAATATCAAAGGCCGTCTCACAAGTATTGAGTGGTGGTAATATAAGAACTCGAAATTCGAAGAATAAATACATTAAAAATTATGATTTCAAATTTGATTTTCCTGGTTATGGGTTATGTGATGTGACAATGACCGCCGTTATGGGCCATATTACAAACATGGACTTTCCAAATACTTTCAGTTGGGGGAAATGTAACCCCGGAAGGCTTTTTGATGCCCCACTAATAGACGTTATATCCAATAAAGACGTGTACAATAATATAAGTAATGAAGCGAGATCAGCGTCTAAATTAATGATATGGACAGATTGCGATAGAGAGGGAGAGTTTATAGGGCATGAAATATTTTTGGCTGCATATCAAGGAAATAATTCTATTAAAGTTGAAGATATATGGCGAAGTCAATTTTCACATTTAGAAAGATCGCATGTAATACATGCGGCGAAGAACCCAGTTAGACTCGATATGAATTCAGTTTATGCCGTGAGTTGTAGGATGGAGATTGACCTACGGGTAGGGGCTAGTTTTACGAGGTTTCTTACTGAATTATTCAGACGTTCACAAGTGATAAAAATGGAAAAGGGTAGTTTCATATCGTATGGAACATGCCAATTCCCAACTTTGGGTTTTATTGTTGATAGATATAATAGAGTCAAAAGTTTCATACCCGAAGACTTTTGGTATATAAGTGTGGTCATAAATAAAGGAAACCAAACGGTCCCATTTTCTTGGACTAAACATCACTTATTTGATCGGTTCTACGTCACACTATTATACCAAAATTGTCTAGAGAACCCCGAAGGTAAAATATCAAGTCTTATCAAGAAACCCACAAAGAATTGGAGACCATTGCCGTTAACAACCGTGGCGTTACAGAAAGACTGTTCTAGCTTATTTAAAATGAGTGCGAAGCGGGCATTGGATGCTGCAGAAAAACTATACAACAAGGGTTTCCTTTCGTATCCAAGAACTGAAACTGATAGGTTTCCGGCAACAATGGACTTAAAAATTATAATAGATAAACAAAAACAAGATAGAAGATGGGGTTCTTATGCATCGACGTTGTTAGACGAAAAGTTCAAGACACCGCGAGCAGGTAATAACGACGATAAAGCGCATCCACCAATTCACCCGGTAAATTATGTAAATATTGACTCGTTAGATAAGCCAGACGAGAAAAAGGTCTATGAATACGTGGTTAGGAGGTATTTGGCGTGTTGTTCAGATGACGCAAAGGGTGAGCAAACCACCGCAACATTACAATGGGGTAATGAAACATTCACGGCTAGTGGACTAACCGTCATTGAAAGAAATTATTTGGACATTTACCCATATCGTTCGTGGGAATCTACGAGACAATTACCTCCGTTCACAGATGGGGAAGTAATTAGAATTTCAAAGAGCGAAATGAAAGAGGGCAGAACTGCTGCCCCCCAACATATGACCGAACCAGAATTAATTGCTTTAATGGATGCTAATGGTATAGGCACTGATGCGACCATTGCAGAACACATTGATAAAGTCCTTACCAGAGGGTACATAGTCAAGATACGACAATCGACCACAGAATATATCATCCCATCAGAGCTCGGCATGGGACTTATTGAAGGGTTTAGCAAAATGGAATTTGAAAACATATCACTCTCTAAGCCATTCTTAAGAAAAAAGCTAGAGAATTCGCTTCAAGAAATTGTCGATGGTAGGCGTTCCAAACAAAATGTTTTACAAGAAATTGTTCAACTATACAAACAAGCATATGGCCTTAGTGTTCAAAATGGGAACACCCTTGTCCAAGCATGCCAGCAGATTATCAATGCTAATAGCCAAAGTGATCAAAATAGGTAGCTTCCATGATAGTTCTGACATTTTTTGCATCAATACATTTTAATGAACTACTCACGTGAAATAATCTTTTTCATTAAAATATCAAATAGACTAAAATATATAGAACACTACAAGGAAGTAGCATAATACTACAGAACCATGGCCAACAATAAACTTCCTTGCAAGTACTATGCAAATGGTAACTGTAAGTTTGGTAATAATTGTAAATTTGCTCATGTGAATAATAATAATAATAATAATAATAATAATAATAATAACAATTCGGGCCAAAACGGTGGTTCTGTTCTACAGAAGTTTATATCTCCTAATACACTTTATGACAAGACATCACAGATTAAACAGGACTTAAATGACTATAAACTGTTTCAGAGTAATCCCGTATTGTCAAGTTATGGGCTAGGATATCCTGCTGTCAATAATTTAATACTGGGAAGGGATCTTTCATACGAAGAAAATAGGCTACAGTATCTAGAAGCAGTTGCATCAAATTCAGTTCCAGAATACGAGAAAAACATAGATTCCAGACGCAAGGATATGACCTATTGTATAGATCATCTAAGAGGTCAAGAGCAACATGCTGCTAGATACCAACAAAAGAGTGCAGAACCTAATGTTGGAACTCCAAAACCATTTATCCCTCGAACTTTGGAGGAAAATATAGCACAATATTCAAATCAAGGTAGCAACGCATTTGGTTCTGCTAATGGTCAGAACAATTCCTTCGGAGCTAAACCTTTTGGGAGTACGAGTACTTCGGGTGCATTTGGTGCTCAATCGAATCCATTTGATCCAAAGCCCAATGCTGGTTCTGGGTTTGGAAATTCTGGATTTGGAGGTTCGGGGTTTGGCAATTCTAACACAAATACTCTGTCAGCATTTGGTGGTGGTGCGTTTGGAAAGCCTGCTTCAACGACTCCTTCGGCATTTGGAGCTTCGTCAACAGGTTCTGCATTTGGGGCTGCTCCGTCAACAGGTTCAGCGTTTGGTTCAACTGGATTTGGAAGCGCTCAACCCGCAGCATCCTCTGAATCTGCGTTTGGTTCAACAGGATTCGGTAATTCAAAACCAGCTGCAACAACTTCTGCATTTGGAGCTCCTTCGACTGGATCAGCATTTGGTTCCACTGGATTTGGAAATCCTCAGGCCACGACATCCTCGGGATCCGCATTTGGCTCATCAGGATTTGGTAAACCTTCAACTGGCTCTGCATTTGGCTCATCAGGATTCGGTAATGCACCAAGTGGATCTGCGTTTGGTTCATCTGCGTTCGGCAACGCATCTACATCTGGCGCATCAGGCACAACTGGCTTTGGACAGTCAGGGTTTGGTCTGTCTACAAATAACACGTCTAGTCTGCCATTTGGTAATTTGAATAACGACAATAAGGTTTCTCCTTTTGGTGCTACTAATAACAATAATTCATCTGGTGCATTTGGAGCTAGTGGTTTTGGTACTGGAGCTGCATCGAATCCGTTTGGATCTGCAGCAGAAAAAGGTGCGTCTCCATTTGGAACTACTAGCAATCAAAGTACAACACTGGCATTTGGTACTTCTAATAATAGTAATCTGGTGTTTGGACAATCAAGTTCTAATGGCAATGCTTTTGGATCCTCGAATAACCCACCACAACAGTTTGGATCCGGGAATAATGGCTCAGGTTTTACAAATAATGCTGCACCATTCGGGCAATCTGGTTTTGATTCGTTGTCTGTACAGCCACCGCAAGCGTCGAATGACACCAGTCTTGACGAATATGACCCTAAGGTCCTTGAGGCTTTTTCAGCTACCAAATTTGAGTTAGGTAGAATTCCTGAAGTTCCACCACCTACAGCCTTATGTCAATAAGATATTAAGCAAACTTTATAGATTTTAATATCGTATGTAATGCATTCTGTATAATATAATATTTGATCGATGATTGATAAAGACATGTTTTCTATTTAGTGCGATTATTTAAGAATTAACGTATCTGGAGTAAGAATATATCTTCTCTTTAGATCTATTCATGTCGGTTAACAAGACTGATTGCAATGATTTGTGTGGAATGTACAAACCCTGATATTGATCGTTTGTATTTCAAATATAAGAGTGAATATATAAAATTAACCATTTGTTCAAAATGTGGAAGAGTTGCCGATAAATATATTGAATATGATAATGTTATATTGTTTCTTGACATATTACTATTAAAACCCCAGGCATATAGACACTTAACTTACAATATAACAGAGTCTGAATTACTTAAAGATGAAGCAACTCATAAAGATTTTAAAGGACATCACAAGAGCCATTCTTTTGTTTCAGAGATCAAGAGCTCGTTTTTAAGATATAGAGCACTTATAAGGTTCTTAACAATGATGATTCTATTCGAAGTCTATTTAACCTGTGCCTACGAGGAGAGAAAGGATAATCATTCGATTATAATGTCATTTATTTTGGAGCAGAAAGTATATTATGAATATCTATTTTTCATCTTAAAGCTGATCTTAGAAGAAACGATACTAAATATTTCAATTCAATACTTTTATCACAAGTTCTTCAATTGGGGGTCCATTAAGGGAAAGAATATCAATCAAGAGTTTCAAAGTGGGTATCGTGTATATGTATTGTTGGCATCCGTTTTAATTTCAAGTTCAATCAAATTATTTCCAATCCTCATGTTAATATGGCCATATGACAGAACAACGATTTCTACAACGATTATTAATATAATTGGATTTCTTAATACTATCGAAGCATTGAAATTAGTTACTAATATGAACTATGTATCAATTAGTATCATCTTAGGCATATCAACAGCTATAAAAAATTTACTATCTCGCGGCATCCTTGGCATACTAGTAAGCTACATGTCAAATAATACCTTATCACAAATACAAACAAGTGAATACAACGACGCAATTGACCTGTTACATAATTCTATAGAGTTTTTACGAAGCTTGAAAGATAGTTTAATTCATTAATTTAAATCTATATAAATTTTTAATCCCATTCCTCAAAATCTTTAGCCTTTCTCACTGTCATTCCATCATTATTTACTAACAATATTTCAGTCCCATCAATCGCAATTAAGGGGCCATCTAAATTGTCAATTAGATGAGGATATTCGTATGTCTTGTTTAATTCTCGTCTTTCATCTAAAGTTTTAAAATTTGAATCCATAGTTTGTGAAGATGCGCTTGTTGATTCTCCGTTATCTTCATCTTGATAAGATACTTCATCATTATCAATTGATCTTAACGCAATAAATATAGACAACGGAATGTAATTCTGTTGGAAGTTCCACAAGCATGCTAAAGTCAATATTGGTAATGGAGCTAAAAATGATGCACATATGTATGCTTTTTGTAATGCCAAGGTTCCCGCCATGGTTAATTGGAAAATTAGTAAACCCAATATTATTCTTCTAAACACTAAAGGCCAAACTTTTCCTGTGGAATGTGGAGGATGAACACATGCGTAAAGTAATTGGTACTTGAAAACAAAATAGCCAATTATGAAATAAACCAAACCCGCCGTTAAGATTTTGGTAGACATGACTGAATATACAATCGTAATGATTAAAATCAATATTGGTTGGGGCAATTGTAATCCAAAATTGAATACAGGCGGTTTGTATAAGTTTAAGTAGTCTCTCGGGGTTTTACACCAAAATAATGCTCCGATAGAAAACTTGAATAGATTTCCCAAAGATAATAATTTGTAAGGAAATATACCCAACCCCTGCAAAATTATTAAATCAACGTAAAACAAGGAAAGCTTTCTTAATGATTGAGCTAATTGATATGCAATCTTTGTGGTATCACTTAATGAAGCGGTACCTGCCATTGTGAAAACCAAGAATAAATTAACAAAAATATAGAAAAAATTCTTTGAAACGGCAGATAACTCTTCATCACTATGAGATGTGTAGCCTTGTATGGATGATATCCAAATATAGAAGTATGGCATGATTATATTGAGGATTGTAAAGAGATAAGTTGGTAATAAAGTTGTAACCAATGTTTCAGCTAATTTATTATTTTCCAAAAACTTACCTAATGATGGCCATACCTTTGAAATTGATTTGAGGCTAAGGAATTGTGCAAGGTATCTAACTGGAATGACTAAAATAAGACTGAAGATCCCAATAAATAAGGTGACAAAGAATATTCTAAAATTACGTTCTTTTCTAGTTAAACACAAGTGATCCCATATAATATCATGTGGTGCTGGTGCCAAATTAGTAATCAAATGATTAATCTTAGGATCCAATACAGCCTGCGCAACCATTTGTGCTTGACTAACTGATTTCATTGTAATAAATGCTGTCGATGTTGCTGGGTAGTCCCTTTGTCTCGCTCTGGTAATTTCCTTATCTATGACTTCCAATTGTTGGGTGCAATAGTTAATGGCATCCAGACGAGGCCCAAACAATCCAAATAACCCATTTCTTATTTTAGGGCGACTGTGCAATTCATCATCTAAAAGAGGTAATTGACCTATAGATTCATCCATATTTTCTTGATCGATGCGATCTGTTATTTGTTCTATTATGCTTGAACGTCTCGATTCGGTTGCTCCAACTGGTTCTTCGACTACTCTTTCAGAAGACTGTTCTGAAAAAGTAGGTTCCTCTTCTCTATCATGATAGGTAGCAGTAGAATTCATATTAAACAGGTCCCCTAGATTTGGATGTAAGTTGCTGCATAAAATATCATTCTTATTTTTAATTCCATTAGCTTCAAAATATGCAACCCAATAAACTTCAGCCTTTCTTAAGATTTTCTTTCTCAACTGGAATAGCTTATTCAATTCATTCCATTCCTTCACAATGACAATAGAATCTACTTCCCCTATGTTTAAGCTCTCAACATGCCTTTTCAAATCTTCTTCATCTCGTAACATGGGAGGAATTCCCGAAAGCTTGATTGTTCTATCGGTGATAGACTTTTGTTTACCTAAATACTTCTGTCTCATCTCAATAATTTTTACTGTTTGCTGAAACAAGAAGTAACTCACGATGAAAGTGAAAACGTATGTGAATACTGTGTACGACCACAAGAAGAGCTCGTATCTTTGTTTTTTCTTTTTGAATATCTTGAAATTATCATCTAATTCATCATCAGGATCGTCCTGATCCAATTTACCCGTAAACTTATATCGTATAGGTGAGATAACAGTAACGGCAAAAATTGCACACACCGCCAATAGCTTGATGCACATTTTAAAAAATCCAAGAAATACAACAGCATCTAATCCAGCATGATCCAACACTTGTTGCTCGTTAATCCTGAGCAAAATAGGAATCCACCCAAATAGCGATCTTGAAGGCAACTTTGGCAAATTTTGCCTTGACGAACTATGTACGTAGTTACTATTCAAGTGGTTGAAATTAGCGACATATATCTTTGGATATCTGAGCCGTAATATCGAAAATAACAAGAACGCCGAGAACCCCAAGACCAATGAAACAATTATTTGTACACTAGCAACCCTGGTAGGCGGTCTCTGAGTATCAATAGGACCTGAGTAGTTTAATTGCCGAATATCATCAAAGCTTACCTGTGGGAACATCTAAATACACTTCAGTACCTTTCAATACTATTATTATGCTATGCAATATACAACTTAAGTTCTGATCAAGATAAACGCCATAATCAATACCGGCTGAACTGCTTGCAAAGATAAGTAAAAGCACGTGGTATATACACGACGATCTTTGGGTTCCATGATTAACAACTCTATCTAGTTTTCAACTCCATTTCCATGTATTACTGTACAAATTAGAGGATTAGAGTCTACAATGAAAGTGATAATTCAGGATGTCATATAATTCAATGGTTTCTAAATTGGGGTGATTACGATGCTTTGATTTGGCAGAATGTAAGTTACAAGCATATTCAACAGCTCAGAGAAAAGCAGTAAGCCACGATTTTGATTTCAATTGTTGATATAAACATATATATTTCTGAATCCAAGGACTAAAGTTTTAGTATAGCATGGGCACAAAATAAGTTATCTTATCTCTGTTGATGGTGAAAAAACCATATTGGGTGTAACACGCACTATGTCTATCAAAATATATATATTTCTATGTAATGTAAACAGACCTTATGGATCGATAGATATGGACACGACGTATTTATATACCAAACGGTTCATAGACCAAGAGGTAAGACGGTTGAGCCAGCCATTAGTGGTAACATCGAAGCTTGAAAGCATATTAACAGAAGAGTCGGAAGAAGATGATCCAGAAGGTAGACAAGTAGGAGAGAAACAATTGCAACAGATAATAAGCAAAGTAAACGTACTAATCAAGCGGCATAACCGAAATGTATTTTCGAGGCAGGTTGTGAATCAGATGATTCAACAGGTTATAAAATGTGAGCAGAACAAGTTGATGGTGGTGAACGACAAGTTGATGCGTATCGAGATGATTTTGAAGCCAATTCTCTTGCCCGAAGTAAGTCAGACGGGAAATGTCAAGACGCTAATGGGGGAGTTTGGTGAATTGGTAAGGGAATTGCCCGAATCTAAGTATCTTTTTGAGCAAGATGATGAATACAGTGCAGACGAGAAAGAGGAAACCCCAGACAATACACCATCCGACGAAGAGAGGATATTAGTCCAGGATGAAGAAGAGAGAGTTGAGGATGACGAATTGACAAAATCACAATATAACCATCGACTCAGACAACAAACAGAACAAGAACAATCTAAAAAACACAATACACAATTGTTGCAGAAGTACGATGGCATACGACACCATTTAATTGAACTACACCGAGGCCTAGAGTACAAATATGCCAAGCTAGAGTATTTGAACCAGCTTAAAAAGAAACTACTTAACGTGCTTCTGGTTCCAGAAGAGCATGCAAAAAGAGGTGCATTTCACAACAATAACGAAGCAGCCACTAATGACGATGAGCCCTTTGATAGTGACGACGACGCCAACGACACCTTACATCACCAACGTAGCCTGGACTATACGACTAGCACGAGCCTTTCGAACGAAATCAACAAGTTTCGAGTGCTTGTGGAAAAAATCTCGTATCGACTTCATTCGAAGCAAGAGTTGCAAGCAACTCTCGATTCCATCAACTCGCAATAGAGTCCTATACATACCCAATATATGCAAGTACAGTCAATTGGCTAGCAGCCAATCCCAACCAGCTTCTACAAATGTATATTGCTCTATCAATCAAATTCCCCCATCTACGCTTACATCTGTCTAATATATGCAATTTATTACTTGACTAAATTAATCCTAGTATATAATACAATATATTCACCCATCAACTTAATCGAATAAACCCATACCCATGTCATCGTCGGATTCTTCCTTTTCTTCTTCCTTTTCTTCTTCAGCAGCAGCTGCACCGGCATCACCAGAAGCAGCAGCGGCACCACCACCAGCAGCACCAGCACCACCAGTTGGAACGGAAGCCAACTTGGTTTGACCTTCAGCAATTAAGTCAGCGACTTGCTTACCTTCTAAGTCCTTCAATAAAGCACTGATTCTAGCTTCGTCAGCTTCAGCACCAACGGTTTCTAATAAACTACTGATGTCAGAAGCGGATGGAGAAGTGTTACCACCTTCGATTAATAATAAGTAAGCAGCTAAGTATTTCATTGTTGATTTAGAATAATCACTTTAAGCTATAATATGGCAGACTATCCTTTGATATGTAAAGAAATCCTGAACCAATCCACCATCAACTGTAATTTTTCACATTATGTCCCAATCGTGAAGAATTTTCACAGACAGTACTCCTGCAGATAGTCCCCTCTTTCAGAAGCCCTCGATGACAGTATATGACGCTTGTAAGTCTACTCCCAGTCTCGGTAATCCTAGTCCCGAGTCTAGCGCCATTCACCCAGTAAATCCGTCGCCTCTTGGCGTAAATATCAGCATGTTTGCGCGACCCTCAACCCAGTGTTAAGAAAAGCAGTCACAACATCCTTACCGTATTAGTCCTGAGAAAAAATGCCACAAAGACCATCGGATCCACCAGAAAAAAAATTCCATAAGATCCTGCACATTATCCAATTGAGTGCTCGTTCGTGGAATTGTATTGCAATTTTTTTTCATACCCTAATTAAAAAGAGAGGTGTTTTATTGAAAATAGATTCACATAGTTATACATATCAAACAACATGGCTGAAACTAGTATGTAATGAAAGAGAAAGTATCGATTTATGAACTGGCGCAGTGGAAGAACATGAATAGAGGTACAGCCGAAGATATAGTGGAAGCAACTCCGGAGGACACGAAGTATGGACCAGAAAACGACCTAGGTGAAAAATTGACCACCACGAGTGAAAAATAAGAAAGTAGGAGTGAATGCAGATAGATCATAGGTGTGGGTGTAAGACCAACAGAAAGCGAAATGACAAGAGTTTGTGGTTGGAGTAAGAAGCAATTAGGGCCACGCACGGGACATAAATGATACAAGGAACGTAGTAGAGGATATATTACTAACAAAATGTAGCTGATAAAAGAAAGAGAGTCTTCAAGACCTTCTCTTACAAGGGTGTCGACTTAAAGGACTTGTTGGAAATGCCAACTGAAGAATTCACCAAGTTATGTGGTGCTAGAGTCAGAAGAAGATTCTCCAGAGGTTTAGGATCCAAGCCAATGGGTTTAATCACCAAATTGAGAGCTGCCAAGTTAGCTTGTGAACCAAATGAAAAGCCAGCTATTGTCAAGACTCACTTAAGAAACATGATTGTTGTTCCAGAAATGATCGGTTCCGTTGTTGGTGTCTACAACGGTAAGGTTTTCAACACCGTTGAAATCAAGCCAGAAATGGTTGGTCACTACTTAGGTGAATTCTCTATCACTTACGCTCCAGTTAGACACGGTAGAGCTGGTAATGCTTCCACCAGATTCATTCCATTAAAATAAGTTGGTTAATATTTGTTATTAGTGTTCTATAATTAAAATCATTTCTATTACTTGTACTTCTTATGTAATGGTTTAATCTATATTTACGGTTAAATACACATTGTAAATTATTAAATCTGACTCGATTCGTCTCTGGTTTGTATGTATCTATTTGTACTGGTTAGTCATCATCAGAGTCTGATGTCATCTCGGACAGAAAAATTGCATGGGAACCTACCTATGTATTATAATTTTGTTTGCATATATACCCTATAAGCATGTCTGATAATCATGTAAATCCTTGGAAAGAGATATCCTTTGGTTCCATAGCTGGAATGTGTGGTAAAATCATTGAGTTTCCGTTCGATACTATCAAAGTGAGATTGCAATCATCATCACAGTTTTCACATTTATCTGCGATTGGCACCATCAAATATACCTACCAACACGAAGGTTTCAGAAAAGGTTTTTACCAAGGATTAAATGCCCCTTTGCTCGGTGCTTGCTTGGAGAGTGCGGTGTTGTTTTACTCTTATAACCTATCAACAGCTACATTCATTGACCTTTATAAAGCAAATTTAGGTATAAACTATACCCAAGAGACGGTACCGTTATGGAGCAAATGTTTTAGTGGAGGGATAGCTGGGTTTGTGGCATCGTTTGTATTGACCCCCATAGAATTAGTTAAATGTAAGTTGCAAGTTACCAACTTAACATCCACGAAATCGTTATCATCTCCTAATTTATATTCCGCCATTATTAAGCAAGTGATCAAGCATGATGGGTTTTCTGGTTTATGGCATGGTCTATCAAGTACATTGGTTAGAGAAGTTGGTGGAACCGCAGTTTGGTTTGGTACCTACGAATACACTAATGGACTCTTCCGTAGAGTAAGCCGAAATAATGAATTAAGCGATATTAATTTATTGATCAGCGGTGCATTAGCAGGTGTTGTATTCAACTTATCGGCTTTTCCAGCTGATACAATTAAATCAAATATCCAGACTTTTGATATTTTACATAAAGATCACGCAGGTTCCAGCTTTATGAAAATGGGTAGACTACTTCTTAGCAGGCCAGGAGGTATTAAGAATCTCTACAAAGGCTTGAACATAACGTTATTAAAGGCAATTCCAGCAAATGCATTAATTTTTTACGTATATGAAGTTTTGAAACGGAACTTCTAAAGTATCATATATTTATTTATTTTATAGATTTAGAACACTTCACTCGCATCTTTAAGATTATCAACATTTAATAGATCACAACCTAATTTCCATAAAGTTTTCAAATGAGAGTTCCGAAGATAATTTGGCCATGTTACTCCACCCCATATTCTCGTCTTTAAGTTATATTTATGAGCTGTTTGAAAGTATTTTTCTAAATCCTTTTCGTCATTAACATTCAAATCTCTAGTCTTTGCACTTGCATAGCTCTCTTCTCCTAGCAATTCTTGCATAGATCCACTTGCTATAATGGATAATTTTGAGTATCTTTCAAGATCTTCACTTGGTGTTTCACTTGTAAACAACTTTAATGGTGCATCAATAAATACATAGCGTATGCTTTCCTTTTCTATCTCTTCTACTGGTGAATTTCCTGTTATTGTTATTATTAAAGGACCGGGAATGAATTTATTCTTCACAGAATCAAAGTGTGCAAGAAAACCCTGATCTATGAATGGCTGTAATAATGGTTTTAGTGCCTGATAGGTTTTCAGGGGATCAGTTTTGAAGTCTAACCAGAAGTATAAGGGTGTTTCTGGAGAATTGTAAAACACTCCATGCTTTGAATCAAAGTCTTCAGTCACTGGATTTTTATTTTCATAGATGAATTGTGGGTTGGAATATTGAAGGAAGCGATATAATGGATCAAGGTATAATTTGGATAATGTTAAACTTGGATCTAAGTATACCTGATTATGCCCTACATATATTTCATTATTTTCAAACGTACTTGTGGTTAGTCTAGTATTCTCTCTGCCACTCCTCGTAGTTTCAGTAACTGTTCTCTCGACCTCATATGTCTCTGGAAAGTACCAGATATCACCTTCTATGCTCTGGCACCCATAACTTAATGCATCAAATAAGGGTTGTTTCCTCCAGTAGTCATTGTGTGAATGTAGCGGTTTTATCTCGGTATCTCTGGTTAAATTTTCGATTGTATGTGAAAACGATGAAAGTCCGTGGCCTGGTTGATCGCCAATTCCATTACTCAGGCTAAAGGGTCTAAAAACGCTTATCATTATCTAATATCTATGGTATTGTTTCTTATTTCTTTATAAATCGAACTCTAATACTAAACTACAACCGCGTGGGCAGCAATCTGAAATAGGTCGGCGAAAAATCGCCGAACTTCAAATATTGCAATAAATAAATATTTTTTAATTAGTTGGAAATTGCACCCAAAGTTTCCTCTATGTAGAGATTAATTTGATCAAACTTTTCCATCGTTTCACTGATTAGCTCTGTTTTATAATTGTTTGCCTGCAATTTAAACTTGATGAAATTAATTAAAGCGGATAACTTTTTCAACATTATATTGTCATTAAATTCATCAATAAATTGATGGTTAGTAGGAAGCTCCAATTCACGTTCGCCACTAGTATTTAATAATTTAATCTTTAATTTTGAGTCATCTTTCTTGAATTTAATAAATTTTGTTAATACTATTAAGCTGACAAGCATAGAAAGCAAAGAACATGCTGAATAAAGAGCAAAATCTGGATATTTGTACCACGAATCATTCAAGTCGGTAACCAATTCAGAGTTATCCCACCAGGAGCAATTATCAGTCCTATCCATTGCAGTAACTCCTATAATAACCAAATATTTGGTTTCCTCATCTGGTACAACACCACTGCCAATTTCAATCAATTTTATTATATCTGAGATTGAAGTAATAAGATTGGTTAAGCAGTTCCACTGAAATGTCGACAATTCTTCAATCAACTTAGATAAGCCATCAAAATTAAACATGCTTCTTACTGAAAATTCATCTGCCAACGGAATAAATTTATTGACCTCAGATTGGGTTTTAGACATTCCAGAAAAAATTAGATCACTAATGAAAAAGGAACTATGTAAGCAATCGTTAGTCTTAGTTATAAAGCTCGCCAATAGATATGACGAGTTAATAATTAATACTGTATTGTTTTGATTTATTGTCAAAACTTTATCATTGACATAATTATTCAAGTCATTATTGAGCTCTGATTCTTCTGTCAATTCGCCTAGGCTTATCTTTTTAATTGTAGTATCCAATTTCTTAGTTGCTAAAATTACAGCATGTGAGTCAGCTAGTTCATCTTTTGACAAATCAGTGGTATCTAATACCTCGCAATTCTTTCTTTTACCTTTCATTTCTAAGTTTTCTTTGTCACTTAATGGTAATGCTAAATTAGACATGTATTTATATACTTCATCGTTTAATTTGACATTTTCTTCTTCCTTGGATAATTGGTACCTTGGGAAGCCTTGCTTGAATTTAACAAGAACCACATGGTTAATCCAATAATTCCATATTATCCGAATTAGTCTTTCTTTCTCATACATTTGTCTCGAATTAAGATTTTCTTTTGGTTCATTGACAATATCTATGAATTTGTTGACTTTTATAAGGTCCCATATCTTGGAGTTCAAGTCATTTAGTCTACTTAGGTCAGATTTCACTAAGGAATTTTGGGATATTAAGCTGTAAGATAACAACATCCCAAAATCATTCAAATTATCCCAATACTTGAAGACTCTTTCTACCCAGTATGTTTCACATTCAAACCTATCATCTAATAGACAGACAGTTGAAATTATCGCATGTAAAATTGAGCTATCTGAATTTAAAGATATCCTTTTGATCAATTCCTGTTTGTTCGATAGCAATTGGTGTTTGGAATGATTATATTTATAATAATAATCGAGCAATTTGTTCAAAGAAGACCAATTCGGCAATTCATATTTCATTAATTCATAATTTGAAAATGGTTCTTCATAGCCTTCTTGATCTCCATGTACACCTCTTGCATGAGGCGAATTTAGACCCTCACACATCTCATAAGTGCTTCTTGAAGATTCTGATAATCTGCTATCATTCTTCGCATCACTAGAATGATATGACTGTGAGTATCCAGAAACCAGTGATCCTCCTAGACGAGGAATTATAAATGGAGGATTGCGGTCCTCATTATCTTTAGCTAGATGTTGATGAGTTGGTACATAAGTAGAAATTGATCCTGATCGTGATGATGGATTTGAATCAAACTTCGAATTGCTAGAGGACCCGGTAGCTATCAGCGATCCAGGAGTGATAGGGGATCCTGTTTTCATTTTATGGTCACCATCTCTACGGTATGACGGAGATCGTGGACGATGTGGACCCATCATATGAGGAGGTGTCGAGTAATCATTCCAGTTTCCTCTATGACGTGGTGGAGGAGGATGTCCCATCATATGAGGTGGCATTGAATTATCATGCCAATGGTGTTTCTTATGATGAGGATGTCCATGTGGATGTCTGTGTGGGTGTTTATGTGGATGTCTATGTGGGTGATGATGTGGATGTAAATCTTCCATCATATGAGCCAGACTTGATGAGTGATCTCCCCAATAGCTCTTGTTATGGTGAGGATAATGCAGCGGCCCTGGTGGTGGTCCTGGTGGGGGTCCTAAGTGATGGAAAAAGGGAGGAGGTCCAAACGGTGGTGGTCCAGGTGGGTATCCCATCATGTGAGCCCCTGGTGGTGGTGGATAGAAATGAGGAGGTGGTGGTGGATAATGCCAATCATAACCATAATGCCGGCCATGACCTTCTCCATCGTGTTCTCTTCCTGACTTGTTTGGTCGAGCTCCTGGCTCGCCAAGTGGCATCGAGTAAAATGACGACGGCGAAGCAGGACCATATCTCGATTTACTATCTGAAAGTGGTGGAGAATCACGCTCTGAGTAGCTCTTCCTCGAATATGAACTCCCTGTGGTATCTGCCGTGGTATTTTCCTGGTTTGTCTCAGTCTTTATGCTTTTAACTTTTGAAGTAAATCGTCCAATTCCATAGTTGGTAAACTCATTTGTACGTTAGTTTAGTTAGTTATTTAAGTATCTCAATTATAATAAATATTTACTTAGTCTCTATACAAATACAAAGGATTGGGAGGTCCTAAGACCT